GTCTACGCTTTCTACAAAAGGATTTAGCCTATTTATAATGCGATGATTTTAGCATTTTTAAGATATGCACATCATTTCTCTTAAATGAATAATTAAAAAATGTAGATTCGGCCAAATACGAAATTAAAATAAATATTTCTAATTCAAATAAATAATTAGCACATTGTACTGTGTTTAGGAACTTGACCGTAAAATGAGACATTGATGTGATTTTAGATGTTAATTATGTATAGTAAAATTGGTTGTTTTAATTTAGGCTGTGAAAATTACCAAATATATTTCTATACTAACATTAATACTTTGAGCTAGTTAATAAAAAATTTACTAATAAACTAAATTACATTAACTTAAACTGAATTATAATAAAATTTAATATTTTTCCTTTAATTTAAAACTATAGAAGGTTGCAATATAGTGTATATTTTAATGTCTTACATATTTGTTTAACTCATTCAAATTTATTTATAGTTCATTTTTGCTTAATGACCTCAATTTATTGGCCGCAATGAGCAAGAGCTGTGACACCTGTCTTGTCGTTGTTCTTCTTACATTCAATGTTATCCTTTTGGTATTTTCCAAATTGTCTATCTCCTAAATGTTTAAAATTTATCACAAATTTTCTTTTTAGTTTATAGGCGCATCCATCCTTGGGTTTTCTATATTTTGTTATTTACACACAACTGTGCAAAGTGCTATATCAAGATCTGGCTACTCTGATCTTATGCAAAATTTGTTATATTCATTAACCGGAGTCGGATCTTTAACAATAATCGTTGCTCTTTTTGGATGTTGCGGTGCATATCATGAATCATCATGTCTTCTTGGGACTTATCTAATTTGCCTTGGAATAGTCTTTAGCGTAGAAGTTGCTGTTGCAATTCTTGGAATGGTTTTCCGCACCGATGTTTGTCAATCTTTATTTTGGTTATTTTTTAGACCGAAAATCGAATTATCTTGGCCGTGGATAAGGTCATACACAGTTTCTATTCTGATTCAAAACTTGATGAGAATTCTCCCGATTCTACCCACCGGAGTATAATTCAAAAATGGGTGCGTTCTCTCTTAATTATTTATTTTCCGAATCAATTTTCTTCATAATTATGCTATTTTGAAGTAAAAATAACAAATCTCAAATGACTTTCTTTAACCTTACTAGCGTTATATTCCTGTTTGCAATGAACTTCATTTGATTGCCTAATAATGAAAATGCTCTGACTTATATTCATTCTTTTTCTCTTCATACCTAACTTTTAACTTATATGGGCATATATGACTTATGTGTACATATTCTATTGATTGCCTGAGTTTGTGCTAATATACTATAATGTTAGATTTTGCATTTTCATAAAAGGCTTTTGAGCATAAATATTCCATAAGCGTCAACAAGTCATGTCTTGACTAATTTTAAATTTCTCGTTTAATTTAATGTGATAGTATTTCTTATATACTTTTCTCTTCCGCCTTACGACCCTAAGTGTTTTTGCCTCAAGATTTTTTTTTACCAAATACTCTTGTTTTGTACTTGCCTTACCCTCATTTTATTCATATATTTCAAATGCGTAAGTATAAAATTATTAAACTTGAGGCACTAACTTATATAGCTTTAACTTATGTGTCTTATGCTAGTAATTTTTAACAAGATTGTACTGGGCATCTCTGGCACTATTTCAAGTATCTCTATTTTAATTTGATTTATTTCCGAGATCTCTGGTTATTTGATTGTGATTGGCAAAGGAGAATCGTATATTGTAGATATTGCACGTTATATAATTTTTTGATAATTTAAAGCAACTTAAATAACATTTTGCTGAAGTCGAATTTGCTATTTAGATGAGCTAAACAGGCGATTGAATTACGTCATAGTCATTCATTTTTATTCTTTATATTTCTTTGTATCTGTCTATGTTTGTGTGTTCCGAATCGTTTCTTATATTTGTAATGAATCAATCCCTCTATATCGATTTAGCGCCGTTAATCTAGGCCGAAACTTTGCCCATACTGCAATTTTAATTGGCCCTTTTATCATAACCTTACCTTGAGACTCGAGACCAAATTTGCAATTTCATGTGGTAACTCTTTTATCATTAATACACGCATACCACTCGTTATCCACGCACACTTTAGTCTCTATATGCAAACCTTGAATTACTTATCTTCTAAACTCAGATATTCCTATTTTATTGGATCTGGCAGACTCGGATAATCAGCCATTCAAAATAACTTAAAAGCCCACATTCATATACCAAATATTATTCAATATGAAAAACGCCTAGCTAAATCAATTCTTCCATTCGAACATTTTCGGTAAGTATATCTACTTGTCTGTTGCTCTTTCACTCTACCTCTTTACCAGTTCCTCACGCTCCTACCCCAGCGTCTTGCCTCAATTATTCGCCCGTTTAAAGTTATGATGCTCGACTTTTCAGGCCCCAGGAAGACCCCCTTACTAAAGAATCATAACCAATACTGTTCCAGCTTACCTGACCATCCCTTCCTTAAGATTAAGTTCATTGCTCATCTCTCTGCTCGTCGTTTCCAGTATACGCCTCTTTTTTACACCATTCATTTATATTTACATCATAACAAAGTCGATTCGAGTTCTGCATAAGGTAAACCACGCTCGTCTAAGTTGAGCAATGTCGTATAAGGGCAAAGCTTCTATGCTCGAGACTACAAGACTTTGGCTTCACCAAAAAAGGGACATTTTCCGAGTCCATTAGGAATGCGTTTTGCGTCTCCGCATTGCGACTGTGGCACCTGATAGTGACGTCTCCATGATACGCAACACACCATCTAGGTTTATCGGTTATTTCTATACCTTCCTGTGCATCCCTCTATTAAGTTTGTAAACAATAACTGCTTAAAAATTACTATGACATATGTATGTGAACATTTTAAATCTTCATAGGCTCTTCACTACATTCTTTTGTTTTCTAATTTTTCATTCAATCACAATGAAAGTCCCCTATATCATACGTCTGATAGTGAGATCATTATATGCTTAAAACTCATTCTAATGTATAATTTAATAATTTTAGTGTGATGAATGAAGGTTTTAATTATTTTCTTTCTATGGGCTTATTAGAATCTTTTGGTTATGTTTACTCTCATTAGCCTAGCTTAGCATATACATTCCAAATATAATTCACAATATCCAAAAATTGTGAAAATATTTATGACTATGCTGTTTT